CAACAAAATATTCCTTTGGTCGTCACCAATCCTTTCAAGATTACCAGGACACGTGACCGTCGCCTTTGCACGCGGTCGGAAGACAAACAGTATAAAGTGATTTATACGAAGAGATTCATTCACTTCAACGACAAAAATGAACCAACCAATACCTACCCTTATGGCTTTTGAAGAAAAAGTGAGAGAAAGGTGGTTGAGGCACAGAGTGGACTAGGATTATCTGCCCCATATAGAAGACCAACAGAAAGAGCAATGCATTGGCTGCCTCTACGACTAAGTTGACGTATTGGCTACGTTATATTCAACAATATACTGAAGATAAGATACAGCCTATCCAACACGTTGTCGCATATGATGCAGATGGATATGGTGTCAATTATTCCGATGAAACGGTTGTTTGCAAAGCTGCAGGTAAACCGTATATTCTCATGGTACCTAACAAAAAGTATTCTGTATACTTGAAACCTGTCTTCACTGATACTGCATACGACACAGCCAACGCTGGTCAATGGATTAATTATGGCCAAAGAAGAAACCGCTGGATGGAAATGACCAAACAGGCTGATAGTTTAATCAGTCACTCTCAAAATTGTTGGCAATTGTGGTTCTAGGGTGACGACACCAGTAAAGACTTCTTCTACTTGAAACCTGTCTTCACTGATACTGCATACGTCACAGCCAACGCTGGTCAATGGATTAGTTATGGCCAAAGAAGAAACCGCTGGATGGAAATGACCAAACAGGCTGATAGTTTAATCAGTCACTCTCAAAATTGTTGGCAATTGTGGTTCTAGGGTGACGACACCAGTAAAGACTTCTTCTACTTGAAACCTGTCTTCACTGATACTGCATACGTCACAGCCAACGCTGGTCAATGGATCAATTATGGCCAAAGAAGAAACCGCTGGATGGAAATGACCAAACAGGCTGATAGTTTAATCAGTCACTCTCAAAATTGTTGGCAATTGTGGTTCTAGGGTGACGACACCAGTAAAGACTTCTTCTACTTGAAACCTGTCTTCACTGATACTGCATACGTCACAGCCAACACTGGTCAATGGATTAATTATGGCCAAAGAAGAAACCGCTGGATGGAAATGACCAAACAGGCTGATAGTTTAATCAGTCACTCTCAAAATTGTTGGCAATTGTGGTTCTGGGGTGACGACACCAGTAAAGACTTCTCCTACCAGCTATCTTTTGCATTTTTAAGGCCGTAGTATGGGGCAAAAGTATGTACAACCAAACACTGTGGGATATCATCATACTGGTACAATTTAATGAATAAAGTTTACATAACCATTAATCAAGTATTCTTATATCCCATCTATCATCTGACAGCTTCGTTCTGTCTGGAAACCAATTAGCAAATACTATGACGTGAGGTATTCTATATCTCTTACATTTGCTTTGTTATCGTTCCATCGTAGTTCTTGAGGGTGAGACACCACCTCTTCGCTTGAGCCATTTTCAGACAGTAGTTTCGTATTGTATTACCTTAACCTACTGTCTCATCTCACTTTTTGTT